GTCCCGTAGATAACCGTATTCTAAAAAACCATGACTCACTTGAATTTGGACATGTGGCCATAGGTGCGGAGACAGTGAGCTTTACACATACCAACTTAATTGGTTTGTCAAATTGTACAAGACGGAGAGCCCACAGATGAATAGTTCGTAAGAAGAGATCTGCTAGAACTCTGAAGAAGGCCCTGAAGAGGGAAGTGTTAAAACTCGGCTTGACTTGGCTTGCCTCGACTCAGCCGCGCAATATGCACTCGCTTGAGGATTGATAAAATGATCCATAAAAGTGTGTAATTTTTGGTTTGTACGCATTTTTGCATCTTTGTGCGAATACAAAAACGCATATTGTCGAAAAATTATCTTTATATGTATGGGTGTGTTCGGATTTTTTTGATCACCATTTAGCTCTGCAAAAGCAGGGGCTAGAAAGCTGGAATTTCAATGTTTCTTGCTCATGTGCTATCCAAACAGCTTAAAATTAGCGTTCACATATGCCTGGGTCTCGGACTCTAAAAAAAGTAAACCTACTGGCGAGAAAACGATTTCGGAAGCCCTTTTATATTCACTCTTCTCCTACTTCCCAAATACGCGGCGATTAATGACACGCTTTGCTAAAGTTCATGCCATGCTAAAATAAGTTGTAGTATTCATTCATTTGCTATTTATTCATGTGTCCCTCAGAAAGAGCTAGTTTTGTTTTTTTGCTCAAAATAATTTTCAGGTTGTGTGAGGTGCAGCCCATACAAGATCGTTTGATTTATATAGCAATGGACGAGCACAAAAAGCAACTTCTTGAAGACAGGTGGAGACAAAGAAGTTCCATGGTAAACAGGTGAATTGCCATTTTTCTCCAGTGTTCAACATTATCTAAGGGGCTACACATGCTTGCACTAGAACTAGTATGGTTCTAATATGGCCTATACGAAACCTGATGTTTGAATAGCTCGTCGCTGATGTAGCTGACACAATCGCCATTCTTCACTATTTTGAGCTCCTCTTCTCCAGAACTTTTTTATGCAATGATTTTTATAAATCTTTGACAGAAGTTAGACAGTTTGTGTAAGCATTATTTCAAAGCCATTAAAGAAATGCTCTTCTTTTCAGCCGTAGAAACTTTTTTTCAGAGTTTAGAAGTTTAGCTGGTTTCTAAGCACAAAAAGTTTTTTTCTTCGAATTTATATAGCAAAGGGTATATGAATGCATGAAACTTTTGGGGACAAGTGGAAGTTGAAAAGTTTTTAGGGTGAAGTAAGTAG